ACAGTAGATCTGTTTTCTGCCTTCTTCTCGTCCTCGTCTCTCCAGCTCCTCCAAACATTATTGACATGAACATGACCTAGAAAAACCTTTACCATCTCACTCTTGTTTCACTCAGATTGTTCCTCTGAGTCATTTGTGCTCTCGCTTCACTTCTCTGTACCTTGGAGAAACCTGTCAAGAACATGTCCAGGTCTTGCCTGGCCTTCCAAAAAAGAAAATAAAGAAATAAGAAGTTGCATTTTTCATAAAAAGGTAATTAATTAATTCTATGTTCAAGACCATTAAGATGTTTTGCATTGTAATTTCATTTTCAGGACCGTAAAAAAAAAAGTGCAACGAATGAATCATCATGTATAAATACTTCCAAATTTAAATAATATTTAAAAGCCTTATTAAAATAATGGGATTCTGAGAACAAGTATCTTTAGTTATTTATTTATTTCTTCTTGTTATTTTTCTTAAAAAAAAATTTAAGATAATGTCACAATCCAAAAAGTGTTATTAAATTATTTTGATTTTAGAGTGAATGAAATATGGACTGGACATTTTTGTAATAGGTTTTGTGAGAACCCCTCCCCCAAAAACAAATAGTATATTGTTAATAGTAATATAGTATTGTGAAAATAAACCGCTTATTTTCAATATTAATATTATTAAATATTTTAATTATTATTATTTAAATATACTTATTTTTATTAATATGATCAGAAATTAATATTAACATAACATATATGTATGTTTTATCACTTTCTGTGTTGCTTAACCAGAATAATGCTTCTATACAAAACTTAGAATAAAACATCTGAATGCATTATGGTGGTGAGAATTTGTAATCTTAATATTAAATCTTAATTAAATAGTCCTTCTTTATTTTTATTATTAGGGTGAAACTTGACCTGGACATGCTTCACTTACCTCTCTGTCTGTCTCTCTCGTTTTTTCCCTTATATTAAACTTTCTTTAATTAGACTGGGGCCTCTCACCTTTCTCATCCACTGTCCTTCACTCCCACATGATGTTCTATCTTTTACTCGTCTCATCTCGATCCCTCTCTCTCTCTCTCTCTCTGTCTCTTTCTATTATCTGTGCCCGTTTAGATCATTCATTCTTAATGTTGCCTCATGAAAATGTCCATTAAAAGCAGCCCTGAAAGTACAAAACGCAGGGATTCACTTGAATTTTTGACTTGTTCCTGTAATTATTTAACCAAGTTTACAAGACCTTTTACAGAACCTCTGCCACCTGTGTCTCTCGTCTGAGCTGCAGGGAGCAGCAGGCCTGGACAGCACAGTTAACTAGGAGCGAGTTATGTCTTGTTTCATTAGTTGTGGCTAGATTTATTACTCTGGCTGTGAGTTTATGACCTTGTTAAAGAAATAGTTTGGTATTTTGTTGCTGTGATAGTAGAAGAGTCTGAGTTCCCTGTCACCATTCAGTTCTGTGCACCGCAGGGGTCGCAGCTTTGTGCGCTGTCTGGATATTTCTACACTGAGCTGCTGGACAGGTCAGTCATTAAAACAGGAGAACCCACTGTGTGTGGGGGGGGAGAGGATGTCAGACAGGATTAGCTGTTAATACCTGTCAATTGCTCACCAAAGATGACATTTAAGATTACATCAGTGGGATTTTAGCCCTGTTTCCATAGAGACTGGACTGTCACTCACATGCTGCCTTCAAGACAAGCCGGAATGATGGACGTCACCACGATGTTGTTATTACCACTGGAGATACTTGGGATTTTCTTTGAGCCTTGACTTGGAGGCGTTAATTAAAGAATCACAGCAGAAGAAAATTGGTATTTGTCATAATTAAACACCCCATGAAATTGCTAGACAAGTGCAGTTTGTTTGTTTGTCTGTTTTTCTTTTTGACATTTCCTATAAAGAATTATAAAAAAATAAATAGTGGAAAAGCAAAAACACAAAACAACAACAAAAATTAATTTAATTAAAATTATATTGTCTGAATCGTTTTTGGGGGTTTTTTCAGCTAAAATTGTTAGTTATTATAATTATGATTTCTGAATTCATAAGTATAAACCGTCCAGGAGGTTTTAAAAGCAGTAATGTCCATTCAGTGACATCATGGTAAAGCGTGTTACCAATCAGCAAAGTGCTCACTTAAAGGGATAGTTTACCCAAAATGAAAATTGTCATAATTTCCTCATGTTGATCCAAAACTGAATGACTGTTTATTTTGTGGAACACAAAAGATGTTTGGGGGGGGAAAAAACTCCATAAAATTAAAGTCAGTAGGGTTCAGTGTTGTTTTGGATACCACTGGTTTTCATTATACGTCTAAAAATAGTTGAACATTCTTCAGAATATCATCTTTTGTGCTCCAATGAATAAAGAAAGGTTTGAAACGACATTAGGGTGAATAAATAGGGCCTTTCGCACCACCGGAACCTTTTCATAGTACCTGAACTAATTGTGGAACTGCCCACTTTTTGGCGTGTTCGCACGCAGGAACTAGGAACGGTTTTAGTTCTAGGAACTCTGTTTGGAGGAACTAAATGAGCTCCTACTTCAGAGCAGGGTCTAAAGCAGTTCTATAGGAGCTATCAGTGATGTAAGTGTACGCTAATTGGCCTAACGCACGCGAAACAAAAGCCATGTAAACATATTTACTCCACGAACATGGAAAACAGCGATAACGCCATTTACCTGTTGTCTGCAGCGTTGTGTTCTTTTCTCAGCTTCGATGATATGTAACACTGCAAGTTGTCATGAAAAAATTAGTCTCTTAGCCCAACTTTTTGCTCTTGCAATCGCGTAAATTGTGCATTTACATCTCCATCTCCATTATAAAAAGACATTGCTTCAGAGTTCCTGCTGCCGGTGCGAATGCAACCAGGAAAACGGCCCAAGAGAGAAATAGGTTCTCTAGGAACTACCCTGCTGGCTAGTTCCTAGAACTACGTGGTGCGAAAGCCCCTAATGATGACAGAATCTTGAAAAATATCCTTTTAAGCTATTCATCCAATCATTGCTCAGCTCAGTGAAGCAATAGAACAACTGTTCCTCATAAACGCGCTCACTTAGTGCATCACATCTGCGTAGCGGCAGATGAAAGAGACTTGTTCAACCACAATCCACAGCATGACAGGACTTTATGTGTTACAGATCACAGCAGCAGGCCCGAAAACCAGAACATCTGAACTCTTTTGCAAAGTTCATTGCGTTCCCCTAGTCAAAAGGTGATGTTTTAGGTCCAATATGGTTTTGACCTTTGGAAAAACGTTTACGTTCCCATCTTCCAGCTTCAGGACACACTAAAGAAAGCTTTTTGACAAACAAGCAGTAAGTGGTAATCCTACAATGTTTAGTGCCACACTGAAAACAATGTGAAAAAAAGTTTCTTTCGAAATTGATAGTAAATTTGATTTGATTCCTTTTATATTTGAAATGGTTCCTCGATTCCAAAGTGTTGGGAATTAAGAATCAATTACTAAAATTGGAATCAATTCCATCGAAGAGAATCAGTTATTTTTTAATAGCCTCTTAGTCATTTGGGAATAGTGATAAGTTAGATTTACCAGATACCAGTTCTTTCAGAAGGTTTGTTTCAATGATTCTGTTAAAAAAAAAAAAGTATGGTGAGTAGACGTGATTTGCAAAAGAAAGTAAGCCTTCATAACGTAGTCTAGGGCTGCACGATTATGACAAATATCATAATTGTCGATTATTCCCTTGAAATTGTAATTGCGATTATCACAATTTACTTTGAATGATGTTTATACCATTGTTTGATGCAACTGCATGCCGTATTTTTATATGAAAATAAACAAGCTGAAAACACTCTGACTGAAAAACTTTTAGTGCTTTTCTATAGTATTAAGCCTTGAATGTCAACTACACTCTTAAAAATAAAGGTGCTTCAAAAGGTTCTTCAAGCGATGCCATAGAAGAACCATTTTTGGTTCCACAAAGAACCACTCAGTCAAAGGTTTTTTAAAGAACCACCTCTTTCTTACCTTTTTATAATCTGAAGAACCTTCTTTTGCCACAAAGAACCTTTTGTGAAACAGAAAGGTTCTTCAGATGTTAAAGGTTCTTTATGGAACCATTTAGACAAAAAGGTTCTTCTATGGCATCACGAAGCACCTTTATTTTTAAGAGTGTATACATCAGATTGGTTTAAAATTGGTTAAAAATATGAATGGTATTATAATGTTATACTAAAACTAAAATTAAAACAATGGAAAAACCCTTAAGATAACATATAAAAAGAAAAAACGCATCTTAAGCACGCAGAATAACATAAGTGGACTTTGAACGATTACGTAATTGTGGCATCCATAATTGTAATCGCGATTAGAAATTTGATTCATTGTGCAGCCCTAACGTTGTCACAGCAACTCCAATCTTTAAAAAAAAAAAAAAAAGAATCAGAAACAGTGAAGAATCTATTCTAGAGTTAATTCCAGAACCAGGAATTCCAAAACTTTGGAATTAAACGGCTCTAAACCCTAAAAACTAAAATAGTATTCTCTTGTAAAGAAACAATAGTTTTGTTTTGTTTACAACTTCGAAAAATGTTACAGTGATACAGTGTATCTTTCAGCAAATCAGGTGGCCAATATTACATCACTTAATTAATATTCATAATGCATATTAAAAGATTCATAATGAGATTCTATCCATAATTGTAATCGCGATTAGAAATTTGATTCATTGTGCAGCCCTTGTTTACAACTTCGAAAAATGTTACAGTGATACAGTGTATCTTTCAGCAAATCAGGTGGCCAATATTACATCACTTAATTAATATTCATAATGCATATTAAAAGATTCATAATGAGATTCCCATACTTTCAGATCATTATATGCCCCTATGTTACACTGAGCTACATTTAAAGTGATTTCCCGAGGTGTCCTTGAACAGTCCCGCTCTGGCTTGGTTTTGTCTGAGATATTTTCTGTCATTGGAAGAATGTGTTCTCATATAATCTCTCACACACACCCAGTGTGTCTCATATTGTGTGCTGCCCCCTTTAGGCCTGCCCTGGCACAGCTGCAGGATAATGAGGTCATGGAAGGCCCTCTTGCCAGCAGGAACTTGAGCTTACTTAGGGAAAATTACTCTGGGTTTGTGCAGCCCAAACAGATTGTGCTAATTCCTAGTGGGCTGAAAAGGTTGACTTGGCCGCTGGCCTTATTTGTCGGGGGTTAAAACCATCTTTTCGAGCTGTTGTTGCTCCCATCGTTGGTCATCATGGGTCAATCCCCTTTTGTCAGGTGGGGGTTTGTTTAGGGGGCTGGGGAATTTTGGGAGCGGGGCGGAGCGGGTCAGTATGTGGGCCGTTTCAAAATGTTCTTCTGCCAGTTTTTTTCCCCTTCATCTCAGTTCCAGACATGCTTTTCTGTACATCACCGCAGATCATTGTCTCAATTACCGTAGTCATCCGTTGTTCTCTCTCGTCTGTGATTTTTCGACTGCTCGAGAGAACATGTAGACTGTAAAGTCTGCACTGCAGTGTGTGTCATGTCTGCTTTTCATCTTCCTTTTAAACCCACGGCCTTTTGTCTACCACAACCATCATAAGAACCTTCCAGACTACTGTTTTTCTACGCCTACTCACCTTTCCGCTCACCCTCATCCTCTTTTTTTTTTTTCGTAGTTCCTTCTAGGGATGTCAGAAATGCAGGTACTTTGGTAAAAAGTCAATGATAAACTGCAGCAGACTCAATGTATTTATAGATCAGTCTTACAGCTGCTTTCAGATGCTCACATTCAAATGTTTTTGTGAAATAAATATGAATTAAATCATGAATAAAGTATAAATACATATAAAAATCTAATAAACTAGTCAACCTGAACATACTTTGGGTATATATTTTATTTATTTATTTTTATTTATTTGTATACTTTTGTCATTTCTAGTACAGGAAGAACCAGCCGAAGAACAGCAGAGTCGTGGTAGAAAGTTCGGAGATGGTATTAAAGTAGCTCAGTTTAAATGTATTGTATGAATTGCCCTTACTATGGAATAAAAAATACAGAGTGTATATCTACATTTAGTTAAAAGCGGCTGTAAAACATCAGCTCCAGTGGTGCAGATGGATACGCGCGTGTCGTTGACTTTTTGACGCGATCGACCCGGGTTCGATCCCACCTTTTGCCGAACTTTTTTTTTTCTCCCTTTTCAAATCGCATTTGCGTTTGTAATTTGTTATTTTGTTTTCAGAATTGTGATTTGCTTTGCACTTCTCGGCCACCGTATTTAAATGATACTAACCTTACTAACGTTACTAACCTTGTCTGTTCAAAGTTACATACATTTTTTTCACTCGTGTATACTTATATGCCCAATTATACCATAAAGACCACATAGACAAGTACACTACCATTCAAAAGTTTAAGGTCAGAAAGATGTTTTTAATAATTAATGCTTCTATTCATCACCGATGCATTCAATTCATCAAAAGTGACAGTTAAGGCATTCTAATGTCACAAAAGATTTCTATTCCCAATAAATGCTGTTATTTTGATTTCTATTCATCAAAGAATTCTGAACATGCACATAATGTTAAGCAGCTCTACTGTTTTTACCATTGATAATTAAGAGAAATGTTTCTTGAGCTGCAAACCGGCATATACAAATGATTTCTGAAGGATCGTGTGACACTGAAGACTGGAGAAATTATGCTGAAAATTCAGCTTTGCATCACAAGAATAATATATTTACATTTTTAAATATATTCACATAGAAAACAGCTTTTTTTAAATGTAATAATAATTCACAATATTACTGTTGTTACTGTATTTTTGAGCAAACAAATGCAGCCTTGTTGAGCATAAGAAACATTTTACAGACAGTAACACACAACAAGAGGTTCATCAGCCTCGCTTAATTTAAAAGGATTATTTAGATTCTTTATAGCTCAAATCAAACACATTTTATAGAGAAGTTGGATTATAGTATTAATATAAGTGCCTTGGGCTTTCATTGCAAGTGCATTGTCGTAAACACAATTCATTAATTTTTTTCTCTAATTGAATTTGGGTGGTAACTGAAAGCATGTCACGGATGCTGTCCATAGAGCTTAATTTGTACTGAATTCAGAAAATATCCTAAATCTGTGGCAAACATCATTGCACAAAAGTGCTTTGAACATAAACTTCAAATTCATTAGCCAACCGGCAAATACGGAGCCCAGCCTCAGTTCCTTGTTATCAAGCTTCACATTAAAATAAATCTGTTACCCTCAAGCAGAAAAGCTATTTAATGTTTGCTGGCACCCCTCGTTGTCATGTGCTCCTCAGCCGTCTGCCGTAATGTTTTCCTAAGAACGTAATAATCGAGATATTTTGGATGGGGAAAAAAGTCTTTGTAACGTGAGCGCCGCGGATTAACTACGGTGTGTCATTCAGGGGTTCAATAAAATATTGAATGGATCGAATACAAAGTGTTTCTGCAATGAGGAATTCAATATCGTCCTCATGAACTGCCTTTATATTTGGAAAGGAAAATAAGTTTGAAGATTAAGTTCTTTGCACCATGGGGCTGGAGCTCGAACATTGTTTGAATGCAGTATTCAGTGCCTGAATGCCGAGACTTACATGGATGAAGTACCAAGTTTTGCAGAGAGGCGCCTCACCTATGAAATATTTAGTAATGTGAAGGCTGGAAGATGCAATGACTGTGTGTTTCAGAGACTGTGTGTGTGTGTGTGTGTGTGTGTGTGTGTGTGTGTGGGATGATTGTATACATGGTTAAAAGGCAACATAGTTGCGGTCGAGTCTCTGTTATTCCTGAGAGGCAGTTTCCTATACAAAGCAGCCTGGAGAGAGGCAAGTACTAAATAGGCAAGAAGTGCGCTGGCATACAGGAACACATCCTGTGTGGACGACCACCTCAGTCGCAATGACAAACTCAAAGAAATACGTTCATTGATATGGAAATATTGACTTCCAAAGCAACTTTTTGTGTTTGTCTGTTTAATGATTTACTGACGCAATCTTCATTTTGGAGGTTTTTCTCTGCAAACATTGATATTTCATTTAATGAATTGATTTTTAATTTATTTTCATTGATTTGATTCATTTATCAGCATTTAATGCAGTTCATTCAGTTAACATTTTTAATTAATTGGCAACAATAAGGTTTACTTATATTTTGCAACAAAAGTGATAATGACTGAATAAAACTCATTTAAAATTGAACTTCATTAAACTGCCATTAATTTAAATTAATTAGAAAGTAAACAACTCAGTAAAAAAAAGGGCATGACATTCATTACACGGTCATTTTTTTCAACAAATGGTGAGTGAAAGCAGCACTGAGCCTTCAGAAGATGTTGATCGTCAGCTGCAGGAGGTCAAACTAAATATAACATGAGCTGTTTATTTTCTGTTCAACTTATAAGATTTGTGAAGCTTCCAACCCTGTTACAAAAAATGGGACTTAACTGATTTGTGAGATTTTGTTTTGTATAATCAGGCATTAACCAATTATCAAAAACAAAGTTGTTTATAAAGGTTGAGCTTAATGAATGCACTCAAAATTAAGAAAATGGATTGAGTTTATTTATTTCCCCTCATGCTGCAGAAGGGAATCAAATGATATTACTTCTAGGGTTTTTTTAAATTACCAGTTTTAAAATTACATTTTAGTAAAAAATTCTGGAGTAACTTTCAAAGAAAATTAGCTTGTGGTACAAGATTTTGAACTAACCATTTTACATCACAATTATGATACATTCATGATATAGTAATCCAGTCTGAAAAGCTACTTTGAAACAATATGTATTGTTTAAAACACTGTACAAATAAACCTAACTTGACTTACTACAATGAAACAAATGTCACTTGAACAGATTATATCAAAAGCAATATTATATAAATAACTAAAATAGAATGTTAACCCAGGCTCAGAAAGATGCCAAGTAAACAATTTTTATTATGAAAATAAAATACACTTTCTGTCAACTGCATTTACGTATTAGCCTTGATGCCATATGCATATGTATCTGTTGTCATGTTAACGCACTGTAGTGCGTTTTGTAATTGATTTTTTTTTTCTTGGAGGCTCAGACTGCACTGGTTGATCTCCATAAGGTAAACATTTGAGGAACCGGCAGTGTTAAAGCCAAACACGATGCATATTTGAACTCAAGCCGGCTGAAATCAAAGCTAGTTATGGATTAAATCGAATCTAATCTAAATACTATCAGGATGTTTGTCGTAGAAGATAAAGCCAAAAAGCAAGTGAGCTTCAGAAGTCGGGTCATTGATTTATCAGCTCTTTTCTGTTTCAGATACAGAAAGTGGCTCTAAAGCAGGTGATGAAGGTGAGAGGGGAGACAGCGGGGCCGTGTCGGTCTCTAACATCGCCCTAATCGCCGGCGGTGTCGGGGGAGCCTTCATCCTCCTGATCGCCGTAGTGATCGCTGTCGTGTGTTACCGGCGACGGAAAGCCAAGCACTCTGAAACTCACCATCCTGCCCTTACACTCTCCTCTCTTACCCCAAAGAGAGGCAACTCCTGTGGGGCAGCTATGGGGGCCGGCGGGGGCAACAATATTGGCTCAGAGCCCAGTGATATCATCATTCCCCTGCGGACCTCTGACTCGGCGTACTGCCCCCATTACGAAAAAGTCAGCGGCGATTATGGACACCCCGTCTACATCGTTCAAGAGATGCCTCCTCAGAGTCCAGCCAATATTTACTACAAAGTATGAGATCAGCGAACACGCAGACAACCCATCCAGAATTTATGGTACCTCACACACATGTGCTGTGTCCAAGTGACTCTATATTTAAGAGCCTATACATGATACTAGAACTTGGATGTGAAGTTGAGTTCTAGGAAAGTGGTAAATCAAGCTTTAATGTCATAGCAGCGTTTGCATTTATTTACGTTTATCACCCTGTGCCAGCTTGAGGCTTCAGGTCCACAGTTCACCTGAGTTATTTCACTGGATGAGACATGACATCATCATGAGATGTAAGAAGAGACAGAATGTTACCGGCCGGAGTGACCTGAGCTTTCTGGTTCAGACTTCTCTCTGCCCACGTTGATTTAAGGATTTCTTGCCGTCATTACCACAAATGACTAACA